CAACCATTTTTCGTATTTTTTTATTTTATTGATTTGACGCAAGTGAGTCAATATTGTGGGTAAGGTAACGTTAAACCATGCCGCTAATTCCTGGGTAGTTTGACTAGGATCGGCTTCCACTATCTCTCTTAATTCATCGTTATTCACCTGTGTGGGCGGTCTTCCTCGTGGCTCGTTCTTTAAGTCGAAATTTCCATCACGAAAGCGTTTAAACCAAAATCGCACGGTGCGTTCATTAGTAGACCCCTCTCCAAACGCAGCATTGATATTGCGGGCTGTTTCTGCCGCGTTAGTTCCGCGTCGGAACTCGTATTCAAAAATCACTCGAATTTTCGCAGTATCCATCTTTCTTGTCTAAATCGAATAACAAAAACAATTGAAAGTCGATATTCAAATGTTTCAAATTTAAAAAAAAAATCACAGAAACCATTTGAAAAAAGTTTCATTCGAAAACCTCAAACCATGAAGATTCTATGAAAATTCAAAGAACCTATTGCAATAAAACGGCAATTTCATACTTTAACCCCTTATATAATACAAGACTTCCACTGATTTTTGGCATTGAGTTGACAATAAGAAGAATGAAATCGGTTAATGAAAAGGGTGAAATCCAATATCCTTAGAGGTGGAATATTTCTTCAAATTTGTATGAGATCACTGCTGAGGTGCCCTCTTTCCGACACAAACATAATCATCGCAATCGGTTCACAAAGATCCGAATAATCGCGTAATATAGTAGGTTTGAGAACCTCCCTTTTTATTGAAGTCGATCAAAAATGACATCGACTTCTTAGCGATTGTTAGGATATTGATAGGAAATGAAACTATTTTTCCGGATCTAAATTGGGTATATTTGTTTTTTCAAACAAACCGACGTTTCGGGCCCTTTACAGGTCCCATGGTCACGGGTGACTGAGATGGTAAAGTCATCAACAAGCTGCCTAACATTAATGCAACCACCCCATTTGTCACTATGTTTTAAAAGTTATTAATTAAATACCTTTTTAAATTAATAATTAATAATCCATCATTAATTATTAATATTTTTTTTAGATTGGAATTGATTTTTTTGGAAAATTAAAAATTTAATTAATATTTTTTTATAAAAAGTATTTAATTAACAATTTTCGTAAGTATATTGAAAAATTGGTTAATTTGCATTAATATTAGACATAACTGGTTGATAACTATACTATCTCAGTCAGCCGTGATCATGAGATCTGTAAAGGACCCCCATTACGATGGTTGGTTCGAAAAATCATATACACGCGATTTAATTCCGAAAAATTGTTTCATTTCTTATAAAATAATAGTTTGATTACAGTTAAGGATACATTGCACATCGATCAGGAACGGAGGGCTCTATCAGTGTGAACTAATAATATGATCTCCTGTAAATATGCACGTTGAACAGGGGAAATTAAAACAACATTGTTTAAAGCATATTGTACTTCTTTTTTTATGATACCCAGTGAGGGGACGAACAAGTCGTGCGCCTGATGGTAAGCGACACGCCTGTCAATAACAATTGAAATGCCACTCAGAACATTAAATCGCAAAGAATTGAGGGACACTGCCACTCTGCGCCCGTCACCCTGAAACATAAGTCCACAAGTCCCATGTGTCTATAATTTCGCTAGCACCCTTACCACAAGAAGCTCTACTTCTACTAAATGTAAGAAAATGAGGTGATCATATGTATAACTAGGAACACAACAACACCTCTTAACTTATAAAAATCACGATTGCTTGGCTTAGACTACAATACAGCAGAGTTAGAAAGACATTATGTGACCTCGATACCATCGGTTCACAGACTATGTAACCGCCTAAGTAATCTAGATAACATCGTACCTTTCTTCACTAGCTGTCGTATCTGACACTTTGTCGTAACTGAATAAGATGTACGATCTTCATTCCGGTTTCAAAATTGATCGTCGTATGTCTTTTTTATATTTATGAATATTATTACAGTGTTATGTAATTGTCTGAACATCTTCGTTTGATAAAAAATTTCAATAATATTAGGTTTCTTGAATATCACGAAGTTTTACTGCCGTGATATTCAATTATTTTTTGTGAAATTACTCCACTAGTTTCTTATAATTACTAATACAAAGATCGAACATTAAGAAAAATACCTTAGATCCGGTTGGATTCGCACCAGCGCTTTCGGCATACAGTGCCTGAAAACTGGTTCGAATCTAGCTGGATCGAAGGAGTGTTTCTTATGTTCGATTTTTGTATCAAAAATATTTAAAATTTTCGAAAGTATACGTCTAAAAAAAGGTTTAATTATTTAATCGTAACCAAACGACAATTGAAGCCATTCTTTTTTCAAATTAATTGTTAATTTGTTTCATGCAGTTCATATTATTTCTTTTAAAGCTCTGAGTGGCACTGCAACTGTTATAGAGAGACGTGTCGCTTACCACCAGACGCACGATTTGTTCATCATGACACTTGGTATCATAAACAAAATTTAACCTAGCACCTTGCGTTTTAACTAGAGGGCCGCCGAGGTCGTCAATTTACTTTTGTGTTTTTAAATTATATTAGTAACATGCGGGTTGACCCGGAAAGGTCTGTAAAATTTGGAGCTATTTCGACTTATCAATAAGATCTATTTTTAACCGACCTAAAAAAAGGAGGAGGTTCTCAATTCAATTGCATGTTTTTTTATATGTAATTTATGAATCGATTTTGATTATTATTTTTTTGTTGGAAAGATGGTACTTCAGAAATGGTCCCATTTAAATTTTAAGAAAATATTCCACCTCTAGGGGTGGCAAACTAGGGATGAAATCCATTATCCATTATCCTAACATTATTGTTAGTGTTGCTAATAAAAAAATAAATAAAGAAAGAACTAAATAAACGTTACTTAATTTGTACAAGTTGTCGTAACTAACGCGTTTGCATTTTGATAACTTTCTAGATATTGGCAGATTTTGCTAAAAGATTCTAAACCTACCTCAAGTGACTTTGGTTGGTTCTGCATAATCACTTTAAAAAAAAATATATATATATATAGTAAAATTGAGGATATGCACTAATTACTATATGGTGTGAAAACACGGTTCCTAAAAATTTTTACGATAGGAAAAAAAACACAAACGTACCTCGAAATTTTCCAAGGAACGATTTTTTTTTATATCACCTGAATTAAACAGAACACGTATACTATGCGATATACATACATTTTTCAAATGGCATAATTTCGTTTGTAAAAAAAATCATCTCGAAATCTCGACCCAAGCAAAATTAACCGCACTAGTACGAGAAAAAAAAAATTCGAGATGAGATAGTATGAACTTGTAACAATAAAACTGAAACTAAATAAGATTTAAAATAAACGCTTCTAGGGGATTGTAGGTCTTGTTTCACTGATTCCAGATGTGTTAATTACTCAATTTCACTAAAATGTCGTTTACGTTACTTATCATATTAAGGAGGGCAGAATAGTTTGTAAGAAATATACCTAGTTATATAAAAAATATATTGGTATCGAGTTCGCAGTGACGGTAAGAGGCCTGACGGTATGTCTGTCGGTCCATGGAAACTGGGGACACAGCTAGTGTGAGACGCAACCTGTGTGGAAACTGTAGCCCCCGCCCATGTCCTTGCAAGCGAGAACCGCAAAGGGCTCAAATAGGCCAACCTTGCCCAGTGTTACAGCTTTGTGCTTTTGCGGTTGAAACCCTGACTCTCTGGGGGCCACAGGCGAAACCTCTGGCGAACGAGCTGTCGGATCGTCTCTTGGAAGCCTCCGGTGACCACAAGACTGGCAGCTATTTCCGCCAAGGAATAAGTTTAACCATTCAAAGAGGAAATGTTGTTAGTCTTCTGGGCACGTAGCCTCAGGGTACGGCCCTCGACGAAATGTTCTATTTCTAAACTTTTTTTTTTTTTTTTTGTATCTAGCTGTTATAAGTAGGCTAAAGAATGTGCTAATTTGTTACCCGATAGTATGTGATGTACTTTAATCGTTTATTATATATTGTATAATAATGTATGTATATAAACACTTTATTGTACAACAAACAAATTACATATTTTTAACAAAGAAATAGAACGTTATTGTACAAATGCGAGCTCATCCCCTAAAGTGATTTCTTCCAGCTAACCTTTGAATAATTGAAAGGAAAGTTGGCTCCTGAGTCGGCAATAAAATCTAATAAATCATTAAATTTAATTCTACATACTAAGGATTTTATTATATCAAATGTATTAATACATATAAAATGTATAGTAAAATTAATGCATGAAATAAGACTATAAATAAATATGTGAAATTTAAACAAATATTTTCTAAGCTCTAACATGAGGAGTCTGAATAATCCCAACATTTCAAAAGGACATCTCTAAAAGCCCGAACCGAAGGTGACTGTCTGACCTGGACTGGGAGAAGGTTCCACATACGAACAGAGTAGTAGATACTTTTACTTTTCCGAATTCTTGAGTTTTCGATGTTGCTGTAAATTAGTTATGATATTTTTTTTGTTCTAAATTGCGTATATTTGGTCCTTCAAACAAACCAACGTTCTCACTTCGGACAGCCCTGTACTCTCGTTTTCTGTCTGACATCCGTCCAAAACAATTACCATCAAATAAGTAAAACTCTACCGAATTAAGACACATGATGCGAATGAGTCTTCGTAATTGCCATTGTATTTTTAATTTTTTTATGTTTGGTATTTAACAGTAATTGTTTTGGACGGATGTCTAATGAACGAGCTGGAAAAGCCTCGATTGTTTTAAAAAAAAAAACAAATATACAAATGATATAGATCCGAAAAAAAATTCTTTAATTTGAAAAATGTAGTTATGTCCATTTTTTTGTATCTTTTGCCATGATTCAAAGTTAACAAGATTCAATTTCATTTTTATATTGATTTTTTTTTTTGTACAAATCACAAATTTATTTTCAATATAATATTGCTACATATTATACAGTGAATAATAGAAAATTAAAAAAAAGTTAATAAATGAGTACTCACCGTGAATATTTTCTTACAAAAAAAAACACCGGTACGGTAAAACTGTAAAAATTAAAAAAAAATCACAACACTATAATCACTGGCCGAAAGAAAATATCCTTAAAAAAACTCACATTCACACAGAAAACTTTTCAAAAATGGAATGCAACGTGATTGGTCGATGTATGGGAGGCGAATGTTCGCGTGCGGCGCGCAAGCAACGCTTTTAACCTCTTGGTAATGCTTTCACCACCCGGCTCGACCTTTGGTTACATACATTTAACACTTTTAAGGGGATCAATTTATTTTTGGCGTCGACTAGCATATCGTGACCTAAGTTTAGGAAGCTGTTATATGTACTTGAGGGGTCGCTTTTTTAAGGTAGTGTTGTACAGATAGCTGCAGCCCAACTAGCATAAATTAATGAAGATGATTTCATTGGAGGCGTTGATTTATAATTGAATTACGTAATTGGATAAATGAAATTGACAAACTATTGTTTTTGTTAAACTCGACACTTACGTATACAAATTATATATGCTTAGGAAAGTTATAGATAGAGACTGGATTTTTCAATCATACGACCGTTATGTTGCTTCCTTATAAGATACGGTATAAGATTCTGCGCCAATTAGTGTGAACTCATTTTTATTACACAAAAAAAAATGTGTCAGAGCAATTGGTCGATTGAAGAGAACAGATAAACTGCAAACCATATTTTCCAGATCTTCGACTTTATATTTACGTAACTGTAATGTCCTACGGGATTCTCATGTGGAGTAAAGCGACAGACACACATTTAGCAGCAGTAGAGCTCTGTGAAAGAGTTTGTCCAGGGAAGTACTGCCACCTTATCTATTTCTGCAGCCAAGCAATAATGTGAGCGTCGCTGCGATCCGGTTTGGAAGGGTAAGGTTGGTAGCGAAATTACAAGCACATGGGACTTGACAGCTTGTGTCTCAGGGTGACGGACGCAGTGACAGTACCTCTAAGATCTGTGCTATTTTAAGCTCTGAGTGGCACTGCAACTGTTATGGATAATCGTGTCGCTTACTGACAGGCTCCCGACTTGTTCGTCCCGTCGCTTGGTGTTTAAAAAAAAACACAAACCATATTTGTATTGCAAAAACGAGCAATTCGTTCTGTGTGCGGTTTAGGTTCTCGGGTTTCTCGCAGATAAATGTTTAAAGCGACTGGTATCATGACTGTGGCATCACAGTACATTTACTCCAATATTTTTGGGATTTGCAAATGATTTTTAACCTAAAAACTAATCTAACCTAAAAAAAATCCCGCCCTGTATTATACCATACTCAAAAGTTCCCATTATATTGGTAGCATTGTCTCTCTGGATGGCAATGGACACTTGCTGAACCAAGCCCGACTGTCTCTGAGTCGGCGACCCGACTCCTCGTGTCGATCGTGACCGGTATGAAGTCGCACATCGGCTCAGAAGGCAAGGCAGAATATTAATTGTATTTTCTCAAACATGCTCGGAAATGTTTGCATTACTTTCAAAAAGCGAACACGGAAAGTTTGTCATTTATAGACCATGCGACTTCTTTCCAACCAAAGCCAAGTAAGTATGAATATTCATTACTGTCCTCTTCTCTAAACTTTTAAATCTACCTACTAATAATGAATTAGGTAAACAGGCAAAAGAAAAACTCGTACCCAGTGTTCATAATTGCGAGAATTCAAAATACGTACCTGTACCTTAAAAGAGTTTTGGTGTTCTTTTGTTTTTTCATCTTTTTTGGATTTTGGTCTCAAAATGAGTGCTAGTGAGAAGAGCGATAACGAAAATACAGTAATAGATACACACTCAAACACATTTTCAGAAGTTCAGCAGACTAATAACTAGTATGCCTGAAAAAACAATAACTTTTTATTTTAGAAATTGTCCTAACACGTCAAATATTACTTTTAATGTTAATTAATATTTTTTTTTACTTTTTCTATTAAACATCTTCCTCTCTTTAGTTCTTTATTATTTCCTCACATTGTTGGAGAAAAAATCTATACATGCCTCGGCGGGAACGGGGATTGCTTGACTCGTATTAATACAAGGCCTCGCTGTCGCTCGTCCTTGTAACTCATACTCGTCCTGCAATCCCTTACTTCCCGGCCTCTGCAATAATATACTATTTTATATAATTTTATTTTGTTACAGCCTTTTTTTTCTTCTCTGCATTCTCATTAATTTTGCTAAGGCTGGGCTACCACCGTTCTATCTAATCCGTAAGCAATATAAGATATAATAACATAGAGTCCTATTTACGAAATTGAAAGCATTGAGTACACAGTGTATCAGGTTAAATATGTTAATGTTCTACACAAACGACATGTAATGAAGGAGTAGCGAGCGACGTATAATCTTTTAACTGCATTGTTGGTTAACTATACGAAACCAATGGTTAAACATACTTCTTACAACAAAAACTTAAACATTATAAATCACACACGAAACCAAACTCTGTTGTAACACAAAAATTATGGAATCGAGAAAACACGATTCGTTCTTAATGCGTACGACAAAAGATGGCTGCTCACGAAAAACAGGGATAATTTTTTTGAGAATCGTTTTTTAATGGAATACTTTGGTGATGGTGCAAACTATTATGGGCACGCCTGTCCATAATAGTTGCAGTGCAACTCAGAGCTATAAATCGCAAAGATCTGAGGGGCACTGCCACTGCACCCGTCACCCTGAGACATATATTGACAAGTCAAATGTGCCAGTAATTTCACCAGCACCCTAGCCCTTCAAAACCGAAAGTAATGCTGATATTACTTGACAGATACTACACCCACAGTAAATACTCACCTAATGGCGGTGACAGCCGCTTAGAGATTCTACAATTTATCAGAAATTTCATAACATTAAAAACCTAGTGGCACACCTAGTCTAATTCGTGACCAGTCAAAAATCTTTTAAGTCACTTTAACCAGTGCAAAACATAGTAACTATTTGACGCTTGCTAGTTTTAAAGTATTTAAAGTGCTACTACCTAGGTATTTAAATTAGAAATTACTTAGTGGATAGTGGATCTTTACTAATACTGAAAATCTTATTCGTTTTATTAGTCAAACATAATCAAACATTATACCAAATTTTCTAATGAAATAACAAAACAAATTATCTAACTCTTTATCTTTACAAATTATCTAAATCACGTCATCTTTATTTCACAGGCAAGCAAATTACATTTGAAATCGTCATATTAATTAAACTCTACTGTCCATTCGTAAGGCAGAGTCCCCTGGGAAGAATGAGCAAGAAACTCTAGGGGTTGCTCATATTTATTGTAAATGTTGAATGTGTTCATATTTATTGTAAATGTTGAATGTGTAGAAATGTTAAATGTTATTTACAAAAGCAAACCCTAGACTTTCTTGCTCATTCTTCTCAGGAGAATCCGCCTTACGAATGAGCGGTAGAGTTTAACCAACATGACGATGCTTACCTATGAAATAAAGATTATTTTGATTTTGAATAATAAAAATTACTGATGAATGAGAAGAAGTGCACATATAAAATCACTCGGTCGAGCCCGAAGTCGAACAGTCCTCCCGCACGAATATAAGAAAAAATGCAGGGAGATTCGCCATCCGGCGACATAATATAAAACTACCTACATCTTATCCGAGCGCAAATTAATGAAAGATTTACGTTCTAAGGATGTGAAGATGCTTATATATTTACAAACACTAAGTTTTGTTATGGATCATCCGAAGAATGGCATACACTATGTTTCCCGAGAACTACATTTAGGTACTATTCAATTCTAGAAAGTATAGGCTTTTTTTACAGAAACGACATACCAATAAGGGTGACATCATCGCTTAATATGTGATAAAATTGAGGTCAAACGTACCTCTATTATTCACAAAAAATCACAATATGTGTTGATACACACAAATGACATTAACGCATCTATTATATTTTCTGATGATGATTTATAGCGATGATGATGTAAGTGATACAACAAATCACAATACGGATACTGTTGAACACGAATAAAATACAAAAATGAGTGATTCTAATTTTCTTTTTAGCACCTTAAAAGACATTGTATGAAATTATGATCGATGATAGGAAATGCCACTTCAAATTTATGTGCGTCATGTTGAAATAACCAATTACCTCATACACGATTATATGACCCTGTATGACCATTAGTGGACGCTGGGATGAGAAAGCGAAAAACGTATGCCAAAAGCGTAGCCGGTAGAGGTCTATTGTCTTTGTTTATCTCTATTCGAGACTGATATGATATGATATAATATATGAAAGATTTCGTCCAGGAAAATAGTACATATTGACGGTGATAGAGGGTATCCCTCTCAAAGGTAGTTTATTGGTTTAATTCTAACATCTATCGGGTTTCTCTCAGATAAAAGCTTAAAGAGACTGGTATCACGACTGTGGCATCACAGTACATTTACTCAAATATTTTGTATGCCCGTAAAAATATACATAATTTCATTGAGAAAGAAGATATCCATAATCTTAGAATAATAACGCATAGAAACCTAGTCCGCACACGCAAAGTGAGGCAAATTGAAGCGCGCCAAAAGGGCCTACACGAGCGGGCGGGCCTTCAGTGCTCAAGGTCAACTTGCACCGCGAACAGATCAAGAATTTTAGCTAAAAATGACAAAATGTGCGGTAAATGAGTGTAAAAATACGTCAGACAAACATAAAATAGATACTAACATCACATTCCACAAGGAAGAAACGCGTTTCAACTTGTATTTTTATATAAATATTCACTAAAACCGAAAATTAACCTACTACTAAAACTAGCCTACATTGCCTACATAGCCTACGCGTGAATTTGATTTTTGCCTCACTTGTAACAGTTCGTTTGATATGAAACTATCATTCTATGCGTTATTATTCTAAGTCCATAATATTATTTTAGAAGTAAGCCCAAACTAAGATGCATGGAAAGACAAAAAGAGTCCAGATTCCACCCAATTATGATTCAAATTGTATTCTATAGCATTTACGTTTATTCGAAAATAGCAATTCCTAGAGTTCCTTGCTTGTTCTTCTCAGGGAGATCATCATAGTGAAAGAGCAATAGCTTAAAAATTGACGTTTTCAAGCATTGGCTTACAATTATATGGACGTCGGGTCCGCGCTAAAAAGTGTCCGAACTTATAGGGCGTTAAAATCGTATACAGAGCG